CGTACAAAGAAACATTTCAAAAATATTATTTCAACGAAGTTAGCTGACCAGTTGTCTACGAATAGAGGAATAGGGAAAACAACTCAGAAGAGTTCTTCTAAAGAACAGTTGTTTTATTTTATATATTATTATAATGTCATCTGCTGGTGGTGAGGATGCCAGAAGAAAGAATACCCAACTATCTTCTGCACTGGATCCCAAAACATGGTAAAAGGTCAAGAGGTAGACCTCGGAAAAACTGGTTGTCATGTGTCCGGGAGGATGCAGCAATCTTCACAGGTGTCGATAACATCACGATAGAAGATGCAGAACAACAAGCTACAGACGTCAGACAGGGTTCACTGGAGAGGTCTAATACACCAGAGAAAGGAGTTACTATGTGGTGCAGGCCACTCCAACGACTAGGAGGAGACCTTTTCAAGTACAAGTAAGTACATCTGCTGTAAGCTAGTCTTCAATGCTCTTCAACCTGCTCTTCGATGCGCACTCTGAGATGTGCGCGCAGATTGATAGACGTTTCCAAGTCCATGTTCATATCCTGGGTGAAGACTAAATTCAGTTTTACGTGAACCTTCAGCTTAATAAACGTTCTGGGTTTAACTTACATGTGATGGAGAATGGATAGGGGAAAAACTTTTGTACAAATGTAGTCCACAGAAACGTACATCAAGGTTGTACCGTAATGTGAATCATTGCAAAACTTACATATGCACACCATACAATTTTATGCGGAGCACGTATATTTCCGCATTACTCTCTGCCAATGTCAATTTAAAAAAATACCATACCTGCATGAGTCGCTCGGCAAACAGAAGCATGTATACACCGCAGTCCACTCCGTTTGTCTGTTGGGGGACGGGGATCTTCTGAACCTCCAGCAGTGCTGAATATGTTAACTTTTTTAAACATTTTACGGATACTGTTATTTTCTTCCAGATACTTCACGGAATATTCACACTGCACTCATTCTACAATATTATATTTACTCCCAGTTGCAGTTACCAAAAATTAAATCATTTTAAGTCATATTCTCTTACCATACCGGGCCCTGCTTAAAACATTAAATTTTTAATAATACAAATTTGACTTACGGCCATGTGTGAGCATGCTGAAAGCCCTCCTGAGTCTTGTGTATGACTGCTGTCCATACAACGTCAAACTGTCGTAAATCCTCATGGAGGAAGTGGTGATGGCTATCAGGAGCCAATGTCCGGCGTCACAGACTGGGATTAGCAGGGTGAGCCCACAGAGTAGTGTGTGAGCTACCCTTTGGCACCACGCGTCGTTGTTCGCCTGTCAAAAACATATTGCAGTACGTATTGCAGGTAGAGAACGCCACATTATGTTTTAGTGTGCTAATACAGTGTTTAGTACAGTATATTAATATAGTACGGTACACCCTAGGATTGCACAAATCATTGTAAGTGAATGATCAAAATTACCTCTGTCTGCGTTAAATCCTTCATATGCAAGTAAAGGAGTGGCCCCTGCACCGGTACATGGAAGGACTCGGAAGAGTTCTCATACTGGGCGACCAGGACTTGCAGCCACCCAGAGACGATGACGTCATTGAGCAGCTGCCCCGGACCAAGGGTCAGGAGATCCCCAGACTGCAGCTCAACCCCGCCTAACAACCGCTTCTCTATCGTAGCAACCTGGATGACATATTTGAATAATGTGATATACAGATTTCCTGAAGAAGATTACACACATACTTTAATTTAGCAAGTTTTGTGCCATCATTACATTTTACTAAGTACTAAGTTCAGTCTTTCTGTACATATTTCTAAATTTGGATTAGAATACAATGGCGGAGTCAAACTTACGTTGCTGTCTTCGAAGTCCATATGGTCATCGACCTCTATTCGGATCCTGTCGACAGAAGAGGGCATCTCTTCTATTGTGTCAACCTGAATGTTTAAATATACCAGACAATCTTTAATTGAACAATGTTTTTTGCACTCATGAACTTAACAAAGTACTAATAATCCCTGTGCTAAGGGATCACTGCAGCACGTAATAGAAGGAGAAACTTACCGTTTTGGGGGATCGAGGCGGAGGAGAACTGTGGACTACAATTCCGAAGTCGTACGGGTCCTGCGATTCCTGCGATGACTGCGGCCTCAACTGAAACGCCCATGTGCAGGTTAACGTCTGGTGCCTGAAACAGTATTCTTGGTGAGTTTTGCTTAGTCGGTTAGACAGTGGATTTCAATGATTAAAAATGGTTAATGATTTTATCCAAATTGTTAACATACGTACTAGGAACTCAAATTGTTTTTTAGCTCAGCCCAGTATACGTACCTCACAAGATTGTAGCTGTTGCTGAAGAGCTCCCAACAGCGAGGACACTTGACCTCTTCCACCCTCATGTGCACTTTCTGAAAATGCTGCTTCAACTGAAAAAGTTAGTGCCTATCAGGAGAAGCGTAAACCTGCACCATTATATGAAAATCAACGGCAAAACCGTACTAGTCTTATCGGCCGTTCAACTAATAAAAATAGCTCACCAGGTACTGGTTGTCACCCTTGTACTGGCAGCCTTTGTAAGTACATGGGATAGGGTCCTGGTTGCATGGGTAGCTGTTGTGTCGCGATAATGTACTGGAACAGTTGAACGACGCTCCGCATTTTCCTGGAAAATATATATGTTGCTGATTTTACAAAGGAACACAACACGACATGGACAGCAATCTCCAAATTACTAAATTAAGAACTAACAGCCTCAATGAATGTGTGTACAGTAAATTTTATTAGATATGCGGCTGAATTGTAACAGGATGTCCGAATTTGAAACGTCGATTCCTGATTCACTCAGTCCGAGTTGAAAAATCACGAGATCACTTTAAACTGTTGGGAAGGTTACAAAACTTTATAAGGTGTTTTTTCCACTGTTACCAGCATACATGTGCGGCGATAAGATGTTCACGGAAAAACAATTGTGACTATGTATTTACCCACCACAATTGAACAAGTTTTTCAATCCGTGCTTTGAAGCCATGTGGTTCTTGTAGCTTCTGTTTCTGACAAATTGTACAGGGGTCTCGCACGTTACGCACCAAAACGGCATATTCAGATTCTAAGACTAAGAGGAAATTAAATTCACGTCGATCTATGCACAGCTAATTTATAGGCACGGACACAGTAATCATGGTAGCATGGATTCAAACAGACAAGCAGTGTTATTTGCAGTAGCACCAGTTAACGATAGAGTACGTTTTCAGTTTGCGGGCCTGAATGTAAAGGACCGTCAATGTGGCCAAAAATACGATACGAATACATGTACGGTACCAGCTAAAATATTTGCCAGTTACATTCAGTACAAGTAGAATTTTCATTCCATTTAATTTTAGGGAAGGGGAAGTTAAACAAGTAAATAAAATTTACCACTATTAACGGTTGAAAATATATATTGAACACGAAGCAGCACTACATCTGCAAAAAAGGGAACGAAGGTAAATTTAAACTAGCGTCTAAGACATGGCTTTGGCTACACAAGCAGTAAAGACGAAAGCATATGCAGAATGTTAGTAACACTAGCATCATAACACCAATAGTTAGATTTGTAGTTGTACCAAGCTCTACAGGTGATAATGTTTGCAATATATAGTAACAAAGTATCTGCATGCAGGATTTTAAATAGAAATTTTAATAGCGTACAGCAAAGCTCTAACCCATGATCCGAAATAAAATGCAGCTGGTAAACGAACTAAAGAGGGGTCCACTGAACGAACCGGACGCGGATCACGCACGTTACGTGCACAGTTAATTTTTAAGCACGGACACAGTAAATCATATATGGTAGCATGGATTCAAACAGACAAACAGTGTTATTTGCAGTAGCACCAGTTAACGATGGAGTACGTTTTCAGTTTGCGGGTCTAAATGTAAAGGACCGTCAATGTGGCCAAAAATACGATACGAATATGTACGGTACCAGCTAAAATATCTGCCAGTTACATTCAGTACAAGTATATTTCTAATAGAAATTTTAATAGCGTACAGCAAAGTTCTAACCCATGATCCGAAACCACTGAACCATTTCAACAGCGCACCTATTACCCGTTATCTATTTTATCAATACTTGAACTTCCGTGTTATCTCATCTAAAATAAACACCCCGCACACAAAATGAATTCCATTGACTTTGAGGGCAAGTGCTGCATTTAAAATTACACAAACTCTTATTACAATTGTGAAAAGGATTCCAAGTTTACATATTTAAAACGGCGATGACTAATTACACAGCACAAATTGAAATTTTGAGTGTCTAACCTGGTAAAAATGAACTGCACCGTGGTGAACTAGTACTTCAACTCTGTCAGGTATAACCATGCTTGTCCTCCTGTATACTGCCTCCTCCTGGAACATACAGTTCTTGTCAGTGAAGTCGTGTCCTAGATTCTGTTTTTAAACACTTACTGTCAAAGTTAAGCAAAGCAGCACTCATGGATATATGCATTATTCCTTTGCTTCCAGTTGGTGTAAACTTAAAGCACAGTTCATCATTTGGATCTCACTCAGTTCACAATCGCGACCTCATATTAGAGTAAATGTTTTTAATAATACGCAATTGGACAACTAAACCGAAACATGCTATAACTAAACAATGTTAATGTTCCGTTCCTGATTGAACAGTTAGCATCACAGTCAGTTGGAGGAGCGACCAACACACTATCAAGATCGGTTGTTTATCTTAAACCCCCCCCCCCCCCAACAGTTTGTATTGTACGTGGGCAATGGGCACGGTTATATAAGTACAACAATCACACTATTTCAAGTTCATGACGTAATCATGGCGTGTTTACCGCGGTGCAGATATTGCACGTGGACCTTGCCGAGCCGAGATGTGGTAGAGATAACAATGTGAACAGAGGGTCAAATAAAGATAAGGAAAGTAAACACACAATATCGATCTGCTGACTCGTCCTGTTTGTGATTGGACGGATCGGTGTCACATGACATAACACCTCTATTACAAGTGGTCGCTCGTTGAGGATGACGGAGCACATCAGGGCTGCCCGTCGTCAGAATAAATTTAATTCAGTTGTTAGTATAATTGTTATATTGTTGTGTTGGTAACCTACCTTTGTTGTGTTTCTTTTGACTTTGTTATCATGCTGTGCTCTGGAAATTGTGATAGTACCTGTCCGATTTGTTAAGGAGACGATCTCCCTAGCTGTTCATATGTTGCAGGATCAGAATGTTCGTGAGGAACAGTCACCAAAAGTGAGTTGCTTACCTGCTGTGTGTTTTCGTACTCTGGTCTTCACTCAAGTTGCAAAGCTGCAATAAACGTATCGCAAAGAACATTTATATCTGAAAATTGTGTTAGTACCAGTTTGATCAGTTAAGGTGAGGATTGCCTCGATCTGTCGGGTTCAGCTTAACTGCCTAGGTCATGAGTAGAACCTAAGGATCAAAACATATGTTGCTTGTTGCTCGTATCAACTATAAAACATCAATTTTGAGGGATAAGGAAGTGTTTATAGGTTCTGAAACCTAGCTAAATCGATTTTTCGTGCAATTTTAGGTCAGAAACAGTCATCAAAATGAGTTAATAAGAAGGTCGATTTCTCGGTTATTTTTGAGCTTTCGTTCAGAAAATAATTCGGGGCCTTCAAAGGGGGGTAACAAGAAAGCGTTACAAGTGTTACAAGCCTTCTATAATACAAAATGTGTATCATCTCTTCAACCCGCTGAACATGTGCTTACCCTAAAAATGTAAACAAATGTGTTTCACCTCCTCAACCCGCTGAACATGTGCTTACTATTAAAGTAAACAAATGTGTTTCACCTCCCCACCAGTATCCACATCTATAGGTAGTCATATATACCATAATTTGGGTGTATGTTACGTTAAATCGGAGTTTTGATTTGAGACTCAAAGTTTACTTATTCGAATTATAGATAAAATCAAATTCAAATTGACAATTTAGTCAAACCATCTATAATCTAATATATTTAAGGTTCTGAAACTCACCTGAAATCATCAGCAGCATGCTAAGTCCAGCAATTATCGTCATCATGTTCCAAAACATTGGGCGGATCATTACTTAAACTGACCGATGATTAAGATATAAAGAATTTTCGATATAAGTGCGACCCTCAAAAACAAATACAAAGGAAAAGTGGTGACCGCGGCCACTAAGCAACAAAAATCCTGAGTCACCAAAAGATCGGACCAAATCACCCAATTTATAAATTATAAATTAGAAAGTAAAAATTGTAAAATTGTAAAATTTAGCACAGGTGTCAGATCAAAACTGAAATTAACGACGAATAGTATAATAGTATAAATCGACAATATCAATTATCACATGATTTGATTAGTTGGATTTGAGGGGTACTCACGGTTAAACCCGAATCGAAATTTCGGTTGTTTATTACTTTATTATTACGAAAGTCAACGACTGATCAAAACATAATACAGACGAAGCTATATCAAAATGATAACTAAATGGTAAAACTGAAAGAGTAGGCAACTAACGCGAAAATACGCGCGTATTTTCGCGTCGACTTTAAGTAAGGGCGTGATCAGGAATATTGAAAAATAGGCTTTGTTGCTTAATAGGTGACGAATTGTGAAATTCGGATTAGTTGCCATATCAGAGAGGAATTTGCATCCGGTTCAACATAACTTCCATACAATAACCTTATCAATTTCAAAGATAAATTGATGTCAGATATCAATACCAAATCCAGTGGCAGAACAACGAAAAAATACAACAAATCGAATAGAAATCAAACGATATATATTGATCAGTTAAGTCTGAGGCACGGGCTTATGTGAATTCCTTTGTTAAATTTCTCTGTCAGATCTATTTCCGGATACACACGTGGAAATGCCAAATGTATTGTCTTCGATACAGAAAACTTGCTAAGAAATGAAAGGTCACTCGATCCTTATTATACCTATTTATTATACCTACCTTATCAGACGTTATTTTACCGGACATTGCGTGAACGGACATTAAAATAAAAGCTCGAAGGCATTCGTGATCATTATTTCATTTAACTACCCCAGTCATCGCCTTGGCAGAAGAAGTCGAAATGGTTTATACTAATCAAAGCAGTTGCATGAACTTGTGCTTGAAATCACAAATTTAAAAAATTTAAACAGAACCTTTTGTGTTCTTCAGACATCATGCTCACGTTTCATAACCTTTAAATAACCAGGACTATAATAGATAAAGCCACAAATAGTCCACGAATACTTGCAGTATCATTGTGATAAGGACAATACTGCCATGCAGCTCCGTGGAATCTGCTTATCAGGATCATCAATCACATGATCTTCATCTTGTCAACTAAAAAGTGATCTTATCGACGTATTGTCTGATCTCCAATAAACGTCACAAATAATGCGGTGAAGGAGCACTCTTTTTACTTTTTTAGTGGCTCATTGGTCAATTTCTAGCCATAGATATTGACCAATTTTAGTTATTGAAGTAAGCGATGCATTAGAATTCAAGATTTTGAGCAACTGGTTGGCTGACTAAATAATATAAAGATTTTAAGAGAAGAGAAAGATAAGAGAAATATAAGAGAAAGGGAAGAGAAATGGAAGAGAAAGGGAAACTGAAAGAGAAAGCAGTGATTAATCTTCCTTTGCTTAGCTGGATATAAAAGTTTAGTGGATAATCTTCGGATAAATACCACAAAAAATAAAAGCAACTACTCAACTAGATGAAGTGACATTATTTGAACTCTTGAAATTACCTGCTATCTAATCAAAAGGACTGAAGAACAAAGTGAAGAAGCTACTGAGCTCATTACACGTGATCTGAAAATAAGCTAATCCAAGTGAGTCAGGGCAGAGTTTTCACTTGGTGAATGTAAGCATGTGATATTTTAGTCTGATACACCATATCAAAGGTGAATTAGGTCACAGCTTTGATGTTATTGTTGGTGATTGCTTGTTGGCGAGACTGTTTCCCTATCTAACTGACGCATCACGTGCTATTATAGAGTTGTGTTGAAATGGAGGAAATTGTCTAGAAGCTGAAACACATAACGCTCGTTAACTTAATTTAAGCAATAAGCACCTATGAATGTCACTTGTCCTACTCCTTTGATCACAGTGCCGGCAAGCACGACCATTATTCCCCCTCCTTCATCCCAGAAGAATCACAACTCTGAGCACGTAGAAATCGCAGGGCTCATGAGTCGCTCAACAGGTTAATAACTTATACGAATTTTTTTAAAAACCCCGAAATGACCTCATTCAGGTGCCTTAAAACCCTGTTAAAATTGAATTAAAGTTCTGCAAGCCGTCTAGGCCTTAACTCTAATCACAACCCTAACCCTAGCCCTAAACAATTGAATTCGTGAGCAATACAAACAGTGTGTCGTGGATGTTTTGAAACGGAAGTTTGGCAACATCAACAATCGACATTTCATATGACTTTTTGAGTGGATTTAACACAATGAAAGAGTGATTTTAATGAAATTTGAGTGGGTTTTGTCATTTCCCCCTTTCGTGGTAAGGACTACCATGAAATTAATTTTTACCTTTATATTAAATATGCTCTTTTATTGGGTTGTCAGATCAAACTTATTTGTTATTTACAGTGTACTACCAAAATGCTCTTTCAGGTTGGATAAAAGTTGCAAATGTTGCTCATGGGTAAGTGCCATCAACGAATTTGAAATGAAAACAGTAGAATTAGATCTAATACTACATCGTAACCAAAGTTTGTGCTGTCAAGAAAACAATTGCCAGCACTAAGCACTTAAGAGCAAGAGCAGAACTATTATCATTACTAATTGCCTAATTGACCAACACTCGTGCCTAATTGATCTGCACTCATGGAAAAATTAGAACAAAACAATAACTGCATCGAAGTGGGTTGTTTTTTACATAGTTGGTTCGTGCGTCAATTTTTCGGGAAAAGTACGTAAAGTGCGTTTGAATTAATTCGTGCGTTAAAAGTGCGTTTAAGTACATTTACCGTTGAATTCACCGTTTTACGTTTTTTCGTACGTTAAGTACGTTATGTTTTAAAAGTACGTTAAGTGCGCACGAACCAACTATGGTTTTTTAACTCTCAGTGGCTAATCCAAGTCCAACCTGTATATCTAATACACGGTGTGTGTCCCTAACGTATCGAACATATCGGTCATGCAGTCAAGCAATTGACATGACTCTATTATCAAATGTGGTTTTAAACACGACTTTATAGCAGTATAGGATGCCAAACAATGTCAATAAGTCAGATGCAAGTGGAGGCTATTCGAATCTATATTAAAAATTTCAAAATGTGTGTGGGTCTGTGCGTCTGTGCGCGTGTAATTTCCGAACGGCTTTATCAAGAAAACGGTTAGAGTTATGGGACTGGTTTTTTTTCGGTATAGTGCCGAGAAAACTATGAGGAAGCAAATAAGGAAAGTTTTTATAAATCAGCCGGTGGTAAGTGGTTTAATTGATGGTTTTGTATCCCAAATCTAACTTTTTCTCCCTCTCTCACACTCTCTCTCTCTCTCTCTCACCATTTACAGCTCCCCTAATTACAGCTTTGGTTTATAATTAGGTAATTTGGCAGTAGAGCTAGGGGCCGCAAGATTGCCTATTAAGTATTACTATAAGTATAATTGGATACGTGTTGGTTTCGACTGAGCAAGTTCATGCTTTTACACCGTTTCAACCTTCGCACCGTTTATATTTCTAAAATTTAACTGCGGTAGTGAAGTCCCGGCCCCCACCCCGGCGAGTCCAACTCGGCGCGCGTCTTGGTAGGTTATACACTTACAAATTCACAAGCTAATTATTTATAGCACAGCAAAGCCAAACTACAATGGAATGATTATTTTGATTTATTTTATCCTACTTGCGATTACGACGTGACGTAGAATCAAACAATCTGCAATCATGAATTGTTTTAAAGTATAATCATTGTGCATCAACGAAATAAAGTGGCCGAGGCCACTTGGTAATCAGCTAGACACAATTGAGGCACATTTCCAATTTTCCAGGATAAGGCCAGGGTGGTAGTTATAGTGTCCAATTAGCTGATGTTTATGGAATCATTATTGCCGAGTACAGCTACCTTCGGGAAGTTCTTTTTAATATTGAATATATTCTGCAATGGGAGAAGGGAGCGACCGATTTCATTCTCGGTATCATTTTGCATTTACGGACGGTCATTCATATTAATATAATTTACTTTTGTTCGGGAAAGAGAGACATGCACCATGGCAGCAGTCCACTATACCCAATTACGGGTTTT